GGAAATTGATTTTGATGATGAGATATGTGCACTGATCTTGTTGGCTTCATTGCCAGACAGTTGAAAAGCTATGAGGATAGCAGTTAGCAGTTCTGCAGGTAAATCTAAACTGAAATACGATGATATTCGTGATTTGATTTTGGCTGAGGAAGTTCGCAGGAAAGATTCTGTTGAGGTCTCAGGTTCGAGTTCAGCACTGAATGTTGATTTCAGAGGGAGATGTCATGACATAAACTCAAGGATAGGGAGATCAAAATCAAAGTTTAGTAAGCAGACAACTTGTTGGAATTGTGGCAAGGCTGGCCACATAAGGAGGAACTGTAGAAATCCTAAGAAGATGGAGAATGATTGCGCAAATGTGGTATCTGAATAATCACATGATGCACTTTTATTGGCAGTTCATAGTTCTGTTGAAGACTTGATGTTGGATTCAGGGGCTTTGAATGTGGGAGAAAATCTACCAAAGGCCACAGTGCAGAGCAATGATGGAAGTGAAGAAGAGAGTGGGTCCGGGGCACCCATTTCTATTGTTCCACAGACAGATGTTACAGAACCACAAAGCTATGAAGAAATCTTGCAAGATGAAAATTTGAGCAAGTGGGAGCTGGCAGAACTTCCACCAGGGAAGAAGACATTGCACAACAAATGAGTGTACCAGTTGAAGACTGAGCGTAATGTCATTAAAAGGTACAAGACTAAACTTGTTGGAAAAGGCTTTCAGCAGAGGCAAGATGTTGTGCATGCAGTGGGAGTTGTAAAAAGAGACAAGAGTGACCCAGAAAATAGCTTGGATGTACAAATTTATGTGGAGTCTACTGATAAAGGTGTTACTCTTGAGAAACGGAAGTTATGCACAACTTCAGTTGGTCTTCTGGAGTGAAGACTGAGGCTTTGAGTTGCAGAGGTAGAGGATACACGTGGACGATTCAAGGTAGAGGATTAATGGTGGAGGATTCATGTTTGAAGTAAAGGACGACACTATCAGTGGAGGATTCAGTTCGAGGAAGGAGACGTTGTAACAGGTGTACCAATCTCCAAGTGGGAGATTGTTAGCGCTGGCGTGGAGTCCAGTCCACCCACCCGCGAACTCCCACTCCCGCCTCTCCTTCTGTTTTCGAGAAACGACGCTTCCGATCACGAAGGGTCACACATCTTCACAAATAACCACTCCCTCCTTTCTTTTTTGTGAAGAGAAGCATCCCTTCGTCAGAAACCGTTTCTGTCTCCTTTATTTCGCGAAGAGAAGCATCTCTTCGCTCCTTTCTCTTTGTTATAAAAGGGCGGCTCTCCTTTAGATGTGGAAGTTACGAGAAGTAACGAGAAGTTACAAAAAGTCACGATATTTTCTTCTTTAGGTTTCCTCGGGATTGAGGAAGAGTTCTTCGGGTTTCCACGGGACAGTGGAAGAGAAGAAGTGCAAGGAGTAGTTTCTTGTGGCAGAAGGAAGAAGAAAGAAGAAGAAGAAGATTGTTCTTCCTAGGCTTCTTCTTGGTGGCTTGTGACAGAAGAGAAATTGAGTTTATTTCTCTTGTAAGTTTGTCTTCTTCAGTGTATCTCGGTGTAGAGTTTTCTTCAGTGTATCTCGGTGTAAAAAGAGAAGAACAGAGAGAGAAGAACAGAGAGAGCAACGAAGAGTGAGAGATTCCTCTTGTAAGTCGAGGTGATCGACTAGTGTAACTTTCCTCAAATAGTAAAATCTTTTGCAACTCCGTGGACATAGGCAATTTGTCGAACCACGTAAATCTGTGTGTTCTTTTTGGTGTTATTTTTCTCGTTCTATTTTTTGCTTTGTCGATCATTCTCCTGTTTGATTTATATATATACCGCATCAACTGGTATAGTTCACAACTCTGGTATATGTATTTCACAACATAACGGATAATTTTTCACGAGTAAGTCAATTTAGGGTCTGATTTATTCGCGCCGCGCCTAACAAAACTTATCGGATCTGTATGTCTCATCAATGTAATGATAGCTGACCATCGCCTCATCGAAAGTCAAAGCCTAACAAAATAATCTTGGCCACATACCAAAGGATCAAAGAAGGATATCTCGAGCCTCGAGGAGTCATATGTGCGTGAAGCATACCCCAAGGTTATTCGAGCGAACATCCTACGCCCGTGACATCAAAGAATGATGCCAATATAACCATAAAAAACTACGGTTATCTGCACAAACCCTATCACGAACATATTCATTTCACTTTTTGATTATTTGTGTCAAGCCACTCATCCATCTAAGCATTCTCATCTTAGCAACATTTAATTTCATTTTATGTTTATATTATAAAGGCCAACATTCTGCGCCGTAGAACATTGCAAGTCTCACCACCATCTTATAAAATTTTCCATTTAATTGGTATTTTCTTTCACACAATAGGCCAGATGCATTTCTTCAATTCAACCAACCAACTTGAATTCTACTAATAAAATTTTTATCTATATCACCATCACTTTGAAAAAGAGACCCGAGATATCTAAAATTTTCGCACCTTTCAATGATTTGATCATCCATAGTTACAACTCTGTCACTATAGCTTCCACTACTAAAATTATATTTCATGTATTCAGTTCTAGATCTACTCAAACGAAGGCATTCAGACTCTAATGTCGACCTCCATAAATTAACTTTTTCCTAAACTCTTTTTCTAGTCTTATCCACACGAAGGTATCACCTACTAAAAGCATACACCAAGGTACATCCTCCCGTAAAAGTCCAGTAAGAGCATCCATAACTAATGGGTTGTCTGGCAACAAATTTATTTTAAGTTATTAGGATTTAGTAAATCATGTAAATCCAGATTTACTAAATTCTAAATATAAAACCATTTGACAATGAAGTCCTCTAAATCCCGGGAATCCATTAAAACTGTTTGGGAAGTTTTACGTAAATCCACCACGACCACAATCGTTCTCATTGTAAATCCCGCAAATCCACTGATTTGTGTGATTTAGGTTTTACGGTCAAAATTCATGAAATTCAGATTTATCAAATTCATGCCTTCATATTATCTGAAATTACAGTCAGGTAAGATTTAGCTTTAATCCTGCTCTAAATCTGTTATTGAACAACCCCTAAAGAAAAAAATATATAGGCTTAAAGTCAATCTTTGATGTAATCCAACAAAAATAGGAAAATATTTAGTCAATCCTCCTCCTAGTTGCTAAACCCTAAACCCCAAACACATTCTACCAAATAAATGAAATGAAAAAAAAGGAAATTTGTATACTTTCCGCTCAATACCAAAGTATTTACAGATTTAACACCTAAAATTAATATTTTACATTACCCTACCTTATTTGTGAGTCGCGAGCTGTAAGAGGCGGAGCGTCAACAAAAGAGAAGGAAAGCTGCGGTCGGTCTCCAGAGCGGTGGGATCGCTGGAGCGATAGAGTCGTCGGGAGAGGGGAGGGTTAGGGCACCTAGGCCAGACCTATAAGGGGCAGGATTACAGCAAGATCAGGAGAGATGCGATTTGGCGGTTTAAAGGATTCGTTCCTATAGTTTTTAAACAGCTTTTAAGTCATCGGTAATTAACATTATTTCCGACGAAAATTCTCATCACTTATTAAAAAAATTAGTCAATTAACATCCCATTGTCTTAAAACTATATCAAGACTCTTCACGTATCATTATCATATTGCCATGTCATGCTCCTTCAGCCTTAAATTTGAGAGTGTTATAAATATTTTTTTTCTTATGATGCACAAACACAACACTAGTTCATATGAGATGTAGTGTTAGTAACATATGACCAACTAATCACTTCATAGTAGGAACATTAAAGAAGTGATGAGGCATGTTATTGGATGCTTAATGTGTAGTCTTCGTATACCCAAAAATATCTGCATAAATTCAAACATGCAGCCTAAAAAAATCTTCATTAATTTATTTAGATCTCTTTTATAAAAATGAATTAATTAGATTTACGAGAATATCATTCATTTTTGTTCAAGCAAAATGTTATTAAAACGCTTAATTTTACATTAAATAAGGCAGCAACGATCATAGCTTGTGGCTAGGACTTTAAATGAACCAATAAGCTTAATAAACAGTTAGCACTAGGCTCGATTAATGCTCGATTTTGTTTATTTAAATTAATATATATAATATATATATATATATATATTTGGGCATATTTAAAAACTCTGAGCTAAATGAGCTAAACCTGAACATAATTTAACGTGCCTTGTTAATGTTCATAATAAATTCAACAAATAACTTATTAAATGATCTATACTTATATGATATATTATTTAAATAAAATTGAATTAATTTTAATATATTGAATAATATATTTAATAGTAACATCATAATTTAATATCAATACAAAAAATTTAAAAAAAAATTAATACTTTATTTTAATGTTGTTTGATTGTCAAAAAAACTTACTTATATCTTGTATATTATTTTACTTGATACTAACTAGTTAGATTTTAATTTGAAATCTATTCAATTGCTTATTTATTTAAATTCATAAGTTTATTAATAATTATATAAAAAAATAATTACTCATTTAAATTTTTAACTTAATTTATTTATTTAGTATGAAAAATTATGTACAAATTAAATACTTAATTTTATATTAAAAATTAAATATTATTTTAATTTTTAGCTTTTTAATTAATATAAACAAGTCAACTATTAATAAAAAATAAATATTAAAAATTTTAAGAACTTTGAAGCTCGTCTCAAGTTCGAACTAAACATGAATAACTTATTATTTGACTAAGTCAAAGGACAAACTCGGCTCATCTCGGAAACAAGTTCAAAAATTTTAAAATTGACATCGATTTAATTTTAATCAAAATATTGTAATTAAAAATTTCTTTAATCATACAAGTGTTGAATTGAGTTTTAATTAAAATTAATCTTTAAGATATTTTTAAAGTGTTTTATATTTATTTTTATCTCATTTAATAATAAAGTTAAAAAAAATGCTAGCAAAATTCGATTCAGTAATTTAAAAGAATTTGAAAGAAAGTTATTTAGGTCACTATTTAAATCACTCACCAGCTCCAGCCTTTCGTCCCCTTCAACACCCGATGGACCAATCGGCGGGAAAATCGGGAAGCAGCACCGACGGCATCGATGACGGCGCAAATCAGGCGAAGTTAACGGCGTCTTCGTCGCCGGAGACGGAAACCGACGGAGATGAAATGTTGGAGCGATTGCTGAAATGGTTCGATGAGATGAGGTATGGATCGATCTCCATGTCCACCGACCTAACGGATTCCGTCACCATTAACGGCGACGAAGAGATGTGCGGATCGTCGTTCTCAGCCGCTACGGCGACGGTAATGGCCGGCGTTGACACGAAGAGCGCAATGGGAATGGGATTGGCGGCGACGCCGTACTTCTACGGATGTAGCTCGCCTCCGCCGGAGATGGTGAAGATGGCGGCGGAGGTGGAAAAGGGTTTGATTTCGGCCGGCGAGAGAAGGGAGGGGGAGAGTGCAGAGGAGTGGGTTGCGCGAGTGTTAAATGAGTAATCTGGAGGTTTTCTTTCTTTTTGATAGGGTTTTTTAGAAAAGCTTTATTTCCTGATTTGAAATCGTAGGGGCAAAATGGTAAATACTGCAATGTTTTTGAAGCAGAAATACAGAGAACAATGGATATGGAAATAGAAAAGATTGTTTGGATTTTTTTTGGCTACCCTTTTGTTTGAGCTATGTTTACGATTTACGGTATAGGGTTTAAGGTTTAAGGGGGTATTTGGTAGCGCAGTTTTAACATGATTTAGGGCCCGCTTGGGGTAGCTTATAAGTGCGATGGCGTTTTTGAAAACGCCGCCTAACCGTTTGATTTGCGTGTTTTTGAAAACGTTATCTGCCGCATTTGGGTTTTTTACATTAAATGTCGGTCGCAGGTTGACCCCCGCGTCCGCGTTTCACGATAAAATGCCTATCTTGAAACACACAAGCTGCCCCAAACAGACTTTTAATCATGTATTTAACTCAAATTCAGCCAAACGCAAAAAAAAATAATAATAATAATAATAATAAAATAAAAAAAATGTAAATGAAATCAAACTCTCTATTAATCTGAATTTATCTCCATTCCGTCTTGTCTATAGTTGTTTTGTCTGCAAATCTGGATTTAGCAAATCTCACATAGAGGCGAATCTGTTCGATTTTGGATTTATCAAATCTCACATAGAGACGAATTTGTCCGATTTACATTACGGTTGTTTGAGACATTCGCTTTTATCGTGAGCTTACCGAAAATCAAGATTTGATAAATCCGAGCCAAACACCCCCGAGTTTTAGGGTTAAGGGTTAAGGTTTTGGGCCAAAATAAATACAACAAAACTAGATTTCATTTCGCGGCTTATTTATTATTATTATTTTTTAAGAAATTTCATCTAGATGTAAGCCACTTACATTTATAATAATGTAATATCTCAAATTTATCACATAAGAAAATATATTTTATTTTTAAAAAATTAGTACTAATAATATTTTGTCAGATTTATGCACTTACCACCCACTTCTTTGTATTGCCACTCAACCTATGCCGAAGATATAATTGAAATTTGAGTGGTTGATATGTTAACATATAGGAATTGGATAGTATGTATGTAAAGGCCCCAACATTTTCTATGTAACATTGAAAATTTGAGTATTGTGTTTATAAATATGAAAATTTATATACTAGATACATAAATACATAAGAATTGTGTGGTATGTATGTAAATGGCCCTTTTGATTTGATAATGAAGCTTTGGGAAAATGGTTTAAATGGATAGTTGAATGTTTATCTATTTACATGTTTAAACTTGTATGTCTCATTATGCAAACAATTAGTCAAATATAAGCAATCATTACATTTTCAAAGAGAAGTTTCTTTTTTATGAAATTACCAATCACTTTAGACTGCCAAATAACTTATTAGACTTCCATGTCATTTGAAATTCGATCCTTGTTTTTAAAAATGGGGGATTATCTATTGAAATGTTTGACGCTCTTGTCAAGAGATGCTAGTCGAGGATGATTTGTAATGGAACAGATGATTTGTAGGATGAAGAGGATTAGACCAAGCTTGGTGAGGATGGCATCATATTTTAGTGTGTTGAGGGGAGGGTGGGGGTATTAATTTCAAAATAGTTCCTCCTTTTTTTGACCAAAAATTTTAGAAAAAAATAAAGAAACTAATAAAAGTGTTTGACAATAAGTTTATCCATACCTAAGAAAGAAATTGATTTCACCAATGTTGATGCCGAAGAAGAAAGAGAGAATCCATCCCCAAACTATAGAAAATGATATTTGTATTGAGATTACAAAGCCTAAATTAATAGTTTACCTTCACATGAGAGTTATAAAAAATATTGGAGAAAATGGGAGAGTTGGCCTACAACCTATAAGGAAAAAGTAGAGAAGAAAATATAGGAACATAACATAAAAACAATCCTTGTAAGCTTAATATGGCCAAAAACAAATATATATGTGTGTGGTCCTTCCTATAGGCGGTTACATAAAACATAACCTGATATAAGTAATTACGATTGCTTCAATAATATATTGAGCCATAAAAGCAAGCTAATTGAGTGGTATAGCAGTGGAAAACATGGTATCTAGTCTAGGTTCCCAACATTACATAAGATCCCCTCTCCTTCTAAAGAGCTCGCCCCGAGTGAAAACATTGAAGTGTTGGCATCATTAGTCGATCAAAAGGAGTAAATGTCTGAAATATTGAAGGTTGGTGAAATGATATATGGAGGCAATTCAATAACATAAGCATTATTTTGAATTTGATTAGCAATTGGAAATGGTCCAAGCCTCTTGGGACTTAATATGGAGTAGGAATCGATTGAAAATCTTTTATTACAGGGCGGACCATTAGTAACTCGTCGAAATGAAGAGTCTTTCACCTTTTATGAGTGTCTACTTGCTTCTTAGAATGAGCATTGGAGGTTTCAAGTTAATAATGAACTTCTTGGAAGGGATTAGTAAAATCTTCAACCATAGAAGCATCATTTTGGATTTTGCATTTAAGAAGAAAGATAACATCAATAGTGTGATTATGTTGTTTAGTGTAAACAATACTCAAAGGAAACTTGCTAGTAGAAGGATTGGCTATTGAGTTCTAAGCAATTTTCACTCGGCCCAACACGTTTTCCCACTTCATCGAGTGGTCTTGGCCTCAACATGGCAACATATTGCCAAGAGTCCTGATGGCGACATCAATTTGCCTTTCAGTTTGAGGGTGGTAAGAGGAACTAAGCCACAATGAAGATGTCAAATATTTTCTTTCATGTTATGAAATGGGTTCTTAGTAAACATGTATACCAAAAAAAAATCTAAACTAAGATCCTCTCAAATAGAATTTAGTATCAGTGGATGTTGTGTATGAATTTGGAGAACCTTAAAAACTTCAACTTGTTGGTGTAAGTGATCATTGAATGAAACATTGAAGACTATAATATTATCAAAATGAAATACACAAAATTTTCCAAAGAAAGGCTTCAGTGCCTCATTTATAATCAACATAATGTGCTAGGGGCATTGTACAACTCGATTGGCATATCCCTCCATTCATAGATCCCTTCTCTTGTTTGGATTGATGTGATTTTTGGGTGAATTAACATCTCCCCTTTGTCTCATGACCTGTTTGACCCTTAACCCCACTTTAATATTTTGGATTTTCTTTCAAATCTCTCAACTTAAACATATGAACTCGATAGCGAGATCTTTCATTCATTGTGTAATGTTATTTTGTTCGACCCATAAATTATCCACGCTACAACTGTTATCGACGGCTGGTCTCCTGCTTCTTTTCGCCGCAATTCCCAAACTATTATCTGATATCAACTTTATATAGAACCTATAGGAGAAAAATAGATAAGAAAATATAACATTAAACAGAATAACAATTCTTACAGAATAATATACCATGTTCCCCTAATACAACAAAAAACTACTTTTTATATGTGTGGTCCCTGCTCTGGGCAATTATAAGAAAAATGAATATGTAAGTAATTACTATTACTTCTACTAATTATATATTAAGCGGGAATTAAAACAAACTAAATAAGCAGTACACCAGTAGGAGGCATGGTGTCTAGTTTGGATTCCCAACGCCACATTAATATTGAAGGAAAGCAATGTCGATCAATAAATGATAGCGATTAATGAGTGATGATGGTTATTAATGCAAGTTAGCAGTGGATGATGATAATATGGTGAATGAAGATGTCAACATCAATTAACATAAAACATCAACACTCCAACTATAATGGTCGAGCAATGGTCATTTGGCAACGAAAATTGAATTATGATAGTTAGCCAAGGACAATCAAAACACAATCATCAGGCTAAGCTTTAATATTGAAAAGATGATGTCAAATATTGTTAATGTTCAACACCGTCTAATTAGCGAAATCTTAAGATTATTTAAATTTATGTTCTCTCCATCTTGATGCTTTCTTCACATATGAAATGAGGCCAACCTAAATACTTTTTTATGTGATATGTCGGTCATTTTTGTCAAAATTATAAATACTTCATTAGATGGTTTAAAATGATCCTACTTGTTCATTTGATATTTTTTGAATTTTTGGATGACTTAGAGATATCAATTTGATAGTTTGTTAGATTCATCTCATTGAGACACATATTAATATATTGAAATTGAGTTCATATGCTCCCAAAGTAAATTATAATAATTTATAATTCAATGACTTGCATCAAGATACACGTTCGATTCTTGATTTGATTAATTTAGGTATGAGATTTTTCAAACATTTTGCATTCAAACTAATTTTCAGTGATGTGGTGTACATGATTGTAAGCCGAAATTAATATCAATAATCATCATTATTTTTATAATTTTTAATTATTAATTTGATAAATGATTGTCATACTAGCCTTCAATTTTGATTTAAGCAATGCAAATGGCATCATAAATATGGAATGTTGTTATACCCTCAGATAGAAGCCCACTTCACATGGACTTCTGGGCTAAAGAGGGCACTCTTACTTTGCCTTGAGGCCTGCCATGTCCTGGAATAGACAGCACTAGCGCATTTTTCAAATACTTGATAAAAAAAAGTTATGTATGATTCATTTTTCTATTTCTTATTAAAATAAATATAATGTATTATATTAAATGGTTTAATTTTTTTAGATATATTCTATGACATGTAGTTGGTACTTATAATACTTATGTGTGTCGTAAGATCCGTAGTGGTAGAGTAATAAATTATTGAAGTAAGTGGGAAGAGACTAAACAATTTTTGCGTTAAAAACCCTGAAAAAATGAAAAAACCGTGGGCTTATCCTAGTTGAAATAATTCACTATAAATGATGAGAATATATGTCCGCTCTTCTCCAAAAATATAGAATATGGAGTTACAAAGTTGAACAAAATTGAACATTCTAAATGTACAATAGTTGTTCATCAATAATAGTGATAGTTTAGTTATAATGAATATAGTTCTTGGTGATATTAAGCTGCAATGGCCAAATTCGATTGCGATTAAAGCAATAGACTGTCGGGGTTATTGTAGATGGTTATACTGTCAGCTTGTCGTATATGTCATAGTTGAAAGTCATGATAATAGATGATTGCTTCAAAAATATCGGTTGGTCATAGATGTCATAGTA